TCTTGGGCCTAGAAGTGAATGGTCCAGCAGACTGAGTGTAGTTGATAGATGCACCCTTGCTTTTGTTTATCCCTTCAAAGGTTACCAACTCATTCAATAGTTCAGCGAGTGTGTACTCAAGCTTATTCATATAATAATTAACCCTAAAAGAGTTAAATGAGTCTGGCAATGAAGCGATAATCATGTCAACCTGAAGTTCACCATCCAAGTTGCATCCAAGGATCTCCAGTTCATTTAAAAAACCAATCATTTTTAAAGCATGTTCCCGAACTGAAGTACCTTGGACTATCTTAATGGTCATCAAATTTGTCATAGCATTTTAGCGTGCGCTCTTACCAATTTGCCCAAACATTTCCTTAAGGTTAAGCATGATGTCTGCAGAAGTGAGATATTGAAGATGTTGACTTTGGAGTACATTCGAGAGTGAAGCAAGAACGTAGCACCTAGTCATCTCATCTGCTTTATTCCATTTCTTAAATACTTCATGCTCCTCAGGAGGATCCTCAGGCAAAGGTGGAGAAGGTCTAGGAGTAGTAAGCATATAATTCAACCCCTTATATGTGAGTATAATATCTAGTTGCCTTTTCCAATCGATATAATTAGGTCCAGTTAATTGATTTTCTTTTAGTATGTTTGCAAGTGGACTGAATGGACTAGTCATGATAAATCTGGAAATAAAAACATTCATACAATAAATAAAGTGAATAATAATAACCATGCAAGTATAAAATAATTAATTAATTGTGGGTCCCTTAACCACATTGCATGAAAAATCGGACAATCAATATGCCAATAACTTATCCGGTTGGCGGAATTCATTATTACTTATTGACGAGAATAACTCATTATTTTCATATCTCTTTAGACAATGCCTTATCTAAATATGAAATAATTCCCGATTAGATTTAGCCTTTCTAAAATCACCTAGTATAGACCACTCCGTTGGGAAGCTAATACTATTGATTTTAGATTGAGTGTATAACATAATTAATGCTCCAACAGAAAAACAAATATTAAATATATTGCCATTAATAGCTTAGACTCTTTAAATCATGCGTAGGGCCTTATTTTAAAGATCTAACTATAATGGTTATTTAATAAATATATTTTCGTGAGACAACCATTCTTGTAATCTAGACTCTTTAAATCATGCGTGGAGCCTTATTTTTAAAGATCTAATCATAATGGTTATTATTACGAAGGCCATGGGGTAATGTATAAAAAATCCCCGCTCCCATTCAATTTTTAATAATATAAAACTAGGGTTTTCAATTCATGATTTAATGCATGCAAAACGCCTTGATTTTAATTCAATTAAATTTAGAAAATATATAGATTTTAAATGATTCACTAATCTTTAATTTAAGGTAAAAAATAATTTACAAAAATAATTTTTCTGTTTCCCAATAAATGCTCTCAAATTAATTAGCAATCTAATCCAATTTATCTTCATAATTTAATTAATATAAATTAAGCCATTTAATTAAAAATCATGGATCCAATGCATGAACAATTATAATAAGCATTAAATTATTCCATGCATCAAACAATAGACAGAAGCAATATAAATGGCCAATGGATTCAGCTTTTAACATTTAAAAACTATTCTTGTTGTACGGGCGTCCTTCAACTGTCTGTAAACACCCATAGGAAACTTGTACGCGTCAGGAGAAGCAAAATGCCACTTGGAACGAGCCCGGAGGACCCCACACGCACTGGCACGCGCCTAGGATAGGCTGCAATACTCAGCACGCGCTCCCACGCGCCCTCACGCGCCGGCACGGGCTCCCACGCGCCCTCACGCGCCGACACGGGCTTGGGGAGCGTGGGACGCGCCTCCACGCGCCTCACGCGCGTGGAGGATCATACCTCCTTAGCTGGCGCGTGAGATCCACGCGCCAGCTTGCCCATTAACCAGCCCACTCCTGGCGCATGTGGAACACGCGCCAGGCTCACCTACCCGCTGCCACACCTGATCCGGGCCACCTCCGACACCTCTTCTCGCCGCAGGCGAAGCTCCGGCCACCGGAAAAACGCCAAAAAAATTCCAAAAAATCCTGAAAAAATCCCAGAAAATTAAATTAAGCCTAAAAAAATTCCTGAAAAATTCAGAAAAATTCCAGAAAATTACTGAAGCATAATTTAACCCTTTCAGACCCTCTTGAAGCTTCATAGCATCCTTTGATGAATATCACATGGCTTTAATAAATACTTACAATTTGAAATACAATGGAAAAAATTAAATTACATCATTGAATTTTCAAACGGCTAAAACAAAGCCTTAATTACATTCATCCAAAAATAAAATTACATTCTATATACCTATAAACTTCATCCATGACCCAAACACACATCATCATCCATTCACAATTATACATACATCATCATGTATTAATATATATCAACATAATAAATCATACATCAACATATATCAATAATTTTATATATGTATATACGATTTAGATCCATGAATATGATTTTTATAAACACATGTTCTCTAGTAATGAATCAAACCATGTGCTCTGATACCACTGTTGGGAAATGTGCAAGTTTTTAAAACTTTTGAGGGATTTGCAATCACGGATTTTGATTCATCACACAGAGACAAGTTTTATGCAAAGATAAATTAAAAGATGATGCATAATTCAATAAACAGATTGAATACTTACATCAAATGTCTGAGTAAACCTTTTGAACTTTCCTCTAAAGTGAATGTTCTCACTTATTGTAGATCCCTTTAGCAAGATCCTTTCTCCTTCTGTTCGATTATTATCTTCCCTTTAGGAATCACCAATATGCCTTGATGAATGACCTTGGAATCTAGGTTGGTGGTTGCCTCCTTTAGAAGAGAAAACAAAACCCTAAAATCTAGAGAGAGAAAGTGTATTCCTTTTTCTTTTTCTCCAAGTCACCCCTAAAATATACATGAACTCATGTATATATAGGCAAAATAAAAATAAGAATAAGAAAATAATAAATCATTCTCCATCTCTAATTCAACTTTCTCAATCCTAACATGACTCCAATATCAACTTGGGCTATTGGTGAGAATCCTTTTGGGCTTACTATTTTCTTGGCTCCTATAAATTAATAATTGGTCCGGTCCATTAAACCATGGACCCAATTCAATTAATTCATAAATTAATTTCTACTCCACTAAAAGAAATTAATTGCACTCTAATTAAATAGTAAATAACCTCTAAGTCAATGTTGCACTTTGACCCCTTCTATGCTTAATTATTTATTGGATAATTAAAGCCATCAATCCGACAACATAATTAATATAATTATTTTGTTACCTTTGATTATTTCCGGCTCGATCACAATAAAATATTTATTTGACAAAAAATAATAATAATTTATTAAATAAATATATATAGAAAACATTTGTCTAAAACATACGAAGGCCTTCGAATTTAATTTGTGATCAACCATAATCAAAACAAAATAAATACAAATAGCACTGATGCAAATATTGAGAATATAGACCTCTAATTATTAATTACATAACTACCCAAAGTGTCGATCTAAGGATCCCGAGGTATCCGCCGAACAAATCAAAGTAATTATTAATTAATAAAAAAGTCTATACTTCTCTCATGCTTGAGAGTCAAAAGCCATGACTGTGATAGAGAACAATTGCATACGACAGCTCTCGCAATATATCTCAATTTATCGTGAACTCGGTTTAAGTCTTAACTAATTAAATGTCCATCCATAATTACCGACTTTAAACCATTTATGATTACTAATTTATATCATAGTATTAATTGCCATTACATACATATATAAATATATTTTGTAATCAAGCAGACACCATCAATTCCATAAAGAATCGAAAAATAATACATTCCATTCACCAATTGTATAATGCTTTAATAATAATATCCAAATAAAAAATCATGACTTTTACAATTCAAAATTAAAATTTGCGATGCTAGGACACACATATCCTAACATATATATATTGCCAAATACAAATTAAAAGTCTAGTTGTTTGTATTCCTCTAGCACAAATTAATCAAAGAGGACATGGCGTTCATTTTCAGCAAAAGGGTGTTGAATGTAGTTAATTCAATTAACAACAATATCTCCCTCACCATATGTGCCCAAACCTCCTTTGTTTCTTAGTAAAAAAGGTACATGATCAACATTACTCTTGTGATATAAGAACACTCAATTAATGCATTTATTCCAATCACAGTTATTGGAACTGACTTTATATAGACATAAATATATATATATATATATATATATATATATATATATGTATGTATGTATATATATATGTATGTATATGTATATGTTCATCCTAGTTCCGCACCACATCTCTTGTGCTCATAAATCCTTCATCAAAATCCCGTGATCAAACGACTTGATTTAATACAGAGATTTTTCAAAGATCTTAAAAACCCACTTTTTCACTATGAATGTGGAATCCAAATTCATTATATGGTATTCTTGATGTTATTGGAAAATTGCTAGTCAAAATTTCACCAAATTTGAGGTTGCCCAAATAAATCTCACATAATATTTTCTATTGTGTGATTTGTGTGCTATAACTACTAACCACAGATTTATATATACTTGCATCCTAATACCAAATTTATTTTTCATGTAGTAGGTGGAATGCTGTTTCTTACACGTGAGCAAAAAGGTTACTGTGTGTTGTGTATGTGTGGGTGAGAGAGACTGATGAGAACTGGTTCTTGGGGTACCTCGGGAGACCAAGTTAGGGACATGAGTGATACTGGACCATGAACCCCATTGAACATGTTACACATGTCCCATTATTGGCCACTCTCACTGAACTGCCCATTTTCACACAGTTGTAGTAGGTGGCAGAATGTGTACAAAACTACATAAAACGAATAAAAGCACGTGGCTGAATGTGTACAAAACTACATTACGTGATCCCACAAGATGCCTGCCTCCCTCTGCTGGACTGACTTTGTACTTCACCACGCGGTATCCATGCTCTTAGATTGATTTAATTTATTCATCTTTTTTTCTTTCATTTTTGTCTGTTATACATATATGGCATATGTATGTATGTATGTATAATGTATTTGTTCAATTAATTAAAACCAAGTATACACCTATCAACCTAGACTATATAGTCCCACACTGTTCCTAACATTATAAAACATAGAATTGTCTCTCTGTGTGTCTCTCTCTTTGGTTTCTTGATTATTTGATCTTCATCCATCAAAGTTCATCTATGGAGTCTGAAGCTGCTTCCTGGTGTTTTCATACCTCCTTTAGCTTCCTTATCTTCTCTCTCACCATCTTCTCTCTCTTGTTCTACTTAGTGAGACTAAGGCTATGGTGCAACTGTGAAATTTGTCACACCTATGTAACATCGGGTTGGTCGGTCCAATTTGATAATCTGTGTGATTGGTACACACATCTCCTCCAAAACTCTCCGACTCGAACCATTCATGTACATGTGCTCGGGAACACCATCACTGCGAATCCCGACAACGTTGAGTACATGCTCAAAACAAGATTTGAGAACTACCCAAAGGGCAAGCCCTTCTCAGCAATCTTGGGTGACTTCTTGGGTAGGGGCATTTTCAACGTGGACGGAGAATTGTGGAGGTTTCAGAAGAAAATGGCGAGCCTAGAGCTCGGTAGGCTCTCGATTCGCATGTACGCGTTTGAGGTTGTCAGCTACGAGATTCACCGCCGCCTCATCCCTCTTTTATCATCTGTGGCGGGAAAAGGAGACGGTGTGCTCGATTTACAAGACGTTTTTAGGAGATTTTCGTTCGATGGCATTTGTAAATTTTCGTTTGGTTTGGACCCCAAGTGCTTGAACTTGTCACTGCCCATGTCGGAATTTGCAGTCTCGTTTGATCTCGCATCAAAATTGTCAGCTCAACGAGCCATGGCCGCGTCACCCATGATTTGGAAGATCAAAAGGATGTTGAATTTGGGGTCAGAGAAGAAGCTGAGAGAAGCCATCAAGATGATCAACATTTTAGCACAAGAGGTGATAAGGCAAAGGCGAAAAATGAGCTACTCTACCCAAAATGATCTTCTCTCACGATTCATGGGCACCATAAATGACCAAACCTACTTGAGAGATATTGTGATAAGCTTCCTCTTAGCCGGCCGCGACACGGTTGCTTCAGCCTTGACTAGCCTCTTCTGGTTGCTCCCCAACCACCCGGACGTCGAGTCAGCCATCCTGGCTGAGGCTGATCGAGTCATTGGACACAACCAAGAGCTCACAAGTGTTGAACAACTGCGAGAACTTCACTACTTGGAAGCTGTAGTGCATGAAAGTATGAGACTCTACCCGCCAATACAATTTGATTCCAAGTTCTGTGTAGAAGATGATCTTTTACCGGATGGAACATTTGTGAAGAGAGGGACAAGGGTGACTTACCATCCCTACGCGATGGGCCGAATGGAAGAGATTTGGGGACCAGATTGCTTGGAATTCAAACCAGAAAGATGGTTGAAAGATGGTGTTTTCTTTCAAGAGAACCCTTTTAAGTACCCAGTTTTTCAAGCTGGACATAGGGTGTGTTTGGGCAAGGAAATGTCTCTGGTGGAGCTTAAGATTGTGACACTTTCGTTGCTACGGCGATTCCATTTCGAATTAGTGACGACATATCAGAGACCCCTCTTCTCTCCCGGGCTCACCGCCACGTTCACCGGAGGTCTACCGGTGTTGGTTCGAGAAAGGAAGGCATCATCATGGTCCACACCACCACATGTAGATAATTGAATACAATTATTTTAGTCAATAGCATATGTAACCCTAAATTTGCATATTACTGCAAATTAACATATAGTGATCAAATATATATATATATATATATATATATATATATGCATTGATCCAATGGAGGTTCGTGAATTACTCTCAATTCACATGTGATCTTCTGGTGACCTAAAGTATTGGTGAAGCAAAATTAACCAGCATGCCTAGCTGGTCATCCTTGATGTATGTTATCTGTACAGATATTTGGTAGATGGGTTATTCAATTGGCTATCCATATATATATTTGGTTATATATATATGTGTGTATTTTTTTCTCTCCCTTGACGCATGGTTTCTTCTATATTTGTTCAGCAATAGTTCAATATTGTATATTAAAGTCTGTCAAATGTCAATCAAAATGTTTGTGATATATATAATGTGTGTTCATGTGCTTTCATTCTCTTTGATAGTTGCAGTAATTGTCTTGTATTGACTTTATGGTTATATAAATCCAAACATGGAATCTATGAGTAATGTTGCACGTCATGAATATATATCACAAATATTAATTATGGATTCAATTTTACCTTGTTATACAACATAAATTTTATGGATTTAGAAAATAATTGAAGAGTATGCTAAGTTTCATTTGATTTCATAAAGTAAATCCCCTTGTCAGCAGACTTAAATTCTAGTCCTATGTTTCACGATTACACACCCCAGGGAAAACATGATTATGAATTTAACTACCCCCAAATTAGAGCAAGTCAACACTTTAAAATCATGTAGTAAGTGGTGAAAATCTAATCCAATAAGCCTCCTTTCAATTTATACGTTTCATGAGATAAAGATGAAGTTAAGAAGAGCCAATAAAATGTAATATATATGATGTCACAAAAAATATTTCATATAAGCATCATTTTCTAGAATTATATTTACCTCAATTTTTGAAGAGTATTATAAATTTACAGTGATAAGAGGGGTTCTGGATAACATTTCACTTGATTAATCTCATGACGTGTCAATGAAAAGGTACAGATAATTTTACACCGAAAGCCATTTTTTAGCAGAAGGTAAAATGAAATTCGGAATTTTATTTATTATTTTTTTATTTGGGAAGGTTAATCAAATTTATTTTTTTTACTTTGGATATTGTATCATTGTTAAAGACACGTCTAGCCTTCAAAATAATCCAAGGCTTGTCAAATCTTAGTTTCAGCACCTCAACTTAGTATAGTATAAGATAGGTGTTAGAGATTCTTATTTCACGTCGAATACAGATAAGGAGAATTTTGGGTATATATAGGCACAAGCCGCATAATAACATCTAATAACTTCTAATCCCTAACCCCACTAAACGGTTTAAACTTATGGGTCAAATGACAAGCGTCCAATCACTTACAAGTAATTTTGGAGCAAAGTCCTTGATCCGGCTTGGGTAGGGGGTGCGGGACAGGTTCTTATAGGGGTGCCATGGTGGGGCCCTTGTTGCGAATTGGAGGAGAATGTTAGGGTTCTTGTCCACGATGGTTTCGATGGTTTCAATTGGAAAAGGTGTTGGGTTTATAAGAGCAGGTCCAATGGACACAATTCCGATGATTTTAGGCCATATTTGAAGATTGGCCTGCTCCAATGGGATAGCCAAAAATTGGGCCCCACCCATTGGATAGCGGAATGGGTCGCGGTATTCCGCGACCCTGTTGGCGATTCGCAAGCCTGCCATGTGGGCCCACATCAGTTTTCTTTTTTTTCTTTTTTTTTTTAATTCTGGGCCAAACAGTGTTTTAGCCTAAAACACTGTTTGGTAGGGCATGTATGCCTGAAAAAAAGAAGAAGAAAAAAACAGTTTTTTTGGCTGATTTTAGTCTTTTTTCTTTTTTTTCTTCAAAATAATTGAAGCAAAGAGTCGTTAAGGTACTGTTTGGCTGACCCAAACAGTGCCTTAAAGGCTTTTTTGGGCAAAAAAAGTTAAAAAAAAAAAAAATAGATAAAAGTGTTTTTTTTTTAAAAAAAATTTGTTTTTTAAAATATTCCTACTGACATATAGCCGTTTTAGGCACTGTTTGGGTTAGCCAAACAGTGCCTTAACGGCTATATTGGCACAATAACCTATTTTTTGAATTTTTTTATGAAAAAATTCATTATACACTGTTTGGTAGGGCATGTTTGCCTGAAAAAAAAAAAAAAAAAAAAAAGAAAAAATCAGTTTTTTTGGCTGATTTTGATTTGTTTTTTTTTTCTTTTTTCTTTTTTTTCCTCAAAATAATTGAACCAAAGAGCCATTAAGGCACTGTTTGGTTTTTTGGGCAAAAAAAGTTAAAAAAAAAAATAGATAAAAGTGTTTTTTTTAAAAAAAAAAAATTACATTTTAAAATATTCCTACCGACATATAGCCGTTTTAGGCACTGTTTGGGTTAGCCAAATAGTGCCTTAACGGCAATATTGGCACAATAACCTATTTTTTGAATTTTTTTTTGAAAAAATTCATTATATATATATATATTTATTTATTTAGAAAAAAAAACCTTTCATAGTAGTATATTGTTTAAAATTTTTTTATCATATAGCCGTTTTAAAAATATAGTCGTTAGGAAAAAGTTAAAAAATAAAATTTATTAAAAATTTAAAAAATATTAATATTTTTGAAGAGCGAAAATGCACTATTGGAGTACATCCGATAGCTAAAATTTGAAGATTTTAAAACGCTGACGTGGCTATAGGAATTATGCTGACGTGGCTATGAAAAAATGCTGATGTGACAAATTCAAAGAGCCTGAATTCGAAGAGTGCATTTGAGATGCCCGAAGGGCAGTTAGGCAGCTCAAACTCTGACCACCTCGACTAGAAATTCAATTTTATTTTTCCTTGTAGTTTTGGCAATTTATAAATTACGGATTAATTAGAAAAATAAATAAAGTTTTATAAAACAAAAACAACAATAATGTATCTCTAGCTTCAAATTTAGTGAATTGATTTATGATGTGGTTGAAAATAGCAAAATTTATTTATTTATTTATTTATTTATTTATTATTATTATTATTATTATTATCTAGCTAACATGTCATTGGTAGCCTAGAAGATTTTTTTTTTTTTTCCAAAAAAAAAATTTAATAAATAAATAAATATAAAAATTAATTAAAATTAAGACCAGCATGCATGGCATTTGGAGCCAAAGGAACGAAAAAGTCTGATTTTGAAAACCCATACCTTTGGTGATGGACTAAATCTAGTCAAGAATTTCCGAAAAAACACAAATCTAGTCATGCCTTATTAGAGATCCAAAATGGAAGCCATCAATCTCTCAGTTTTTTCGTGCTCAGTCAAAATCTCACTCTTTTACTAATTAGTGTAAGCCGTTCCAACATTATAGGAACACAAAATGCTCTCTCTCTCCTCGGGGTATTAATACTAACAATCTGCCAATCCCTATCACATCACACAAAGTGAGATACACACACACACACACACACATATATATATATTTACAAAGAAGGAGAAAATTATAAGCCATGAAGATTTGGGAAAACTTACTACTGTCTCTCTTCTTCAATCTATGTCTAGTTGCAACATTCATAAATGGTTCCACTAATGACAATGACAGAAAGGTAAAGCAATAAACAGAGTATGCAATTTTATTTTATTTTTTATTATTTATTTTTTTTGTATTGAAATTTCATATAAAACCCAATTATGAATCATGCATTGATGAACTAACATGGGAATTCTCACTCTACTGTGATTGACAAAAGCCATACATTGTATACATGGGAGACCTGCCACGTCATCATGCTGGAATAGCAGCCGTAAAAAAACACCACACCCTACTTTCAGAGGCAATTGGAGAGTAAATATCACAATTACTTTCTTTACTCTCATGCCAAACCTTATGATCATGCAATTTATATATATATCTGCTTATATAGTTTCTCTGGCTCCTCTCCTTGAACGGATGTGTTAAACAGTGTTGAAATCTCTTTTCAAAATCATTATCTTTACTTTCAAAGCATTTAAATTGTGTTTCAACACATTAGTTCTCCGTATTAAAATCTAAAACAAATGTGTTAAAACACGACTGAAGGTACTTGTGTTAGACTAACTTTTTCCCTCGTTTTCTTTCTACTTCAGTGAAGGAATTGCCAGAGAATCCAAGATACATAGCTATGGAAAGAGCTTCAATGGGTTTGTGGCAAAGCTGTTGCCTCACGAGGCAAGAAGATTATCAGGTATATATTATACACATGCAGCAATTAATAAAAATAGTGATATTTTTGTTTGCGAAATTCCCAACATGTTATTCATGTTTCTTGCTATATATGCCAAAAAAAATTCCAGAGAAAGAGAGTGTTGTGTCAGTGTTTCCAAACACTGTGCGTAAACTTCACACCACAAGATCATGGGATTTTCTGGGGATGCCTCTGACAATGAAGAAAAGGAATATTAAAGCAGAGAGCAATATAATTGTTGCTGTCCTAGATACAGGTCATCATCACATATAATGAATCACACGCGCGCACACACACACACACACATATATATATAAGTATTTAACAATCATTGATATTGTATTCTAGGAATTTGGACACAATCTCCCAGTTTCAATGATCAAGGCTATGGCCCTGCCCCATCCAAATGGAAAGGCAAATGTGCAAAGGGCGTTAACTTCACGGGATGCAACAAGTAAGCCTGTGTCTGTATGTTACCATGTTAATTAAACAGATGTACAGAGAACAGTATAAACTATAATGTGTATTTATAATATATTAGATTAGTATGAAATTTTTTATTGGCTCAAGGCTTCTGATTTTTTGTCCCATGAACAAATTTATTCAACTATGGATGAATCAATAAACAACTAACAAATAGATTACTGCTTTCTTTAACCACTCTTAGTAATATCATGGTGTACTAATCCATGGGATTGCATGACATACCTCTTAATCTGGACAGCAAAGTCATCGGTGCAACTTGCTACAATCTGGACCGTGGCAGCCCAACGGATCAGCTGTCACCGGTTGACACGGATGGGCATGGCACACACACTTCCTCCACGGCTGCTGGTGTTCCCGTCAAGGGCGCGGGCTTGTATGGCATTGCCCAAGGGACTGCACGTGGAGGAGTGCCATCAGCACGCGTCGCCATGTACAAAGTATGCTGGGGTATTGGATGCACTGACATGGATATCTTAGCTGGATTCGACGCCGCCATTGCTGATGGGGTCGACGTGATATCAATCTCTCTAGGGGGAGCAGCCGGCGTGTACTTCGAGGATCCAATCGCCATTGGAGCCTTCCATGCCGCCAAGAAGGGAATCTTCACCTCTTGCTCGGCTGGAAATGAAGGGCCTGCTCCATTTTCAGTGCAGAATGTTGCACCATGGATCATGACAGTAGCTGCTAGTAGCATGGACCGGCAGATCAGGACGGATGTGAAATTGGGCAACGGCATGAAAGCTTCAGTATATAATTCTCTCTTTTGATCTCTCTCTCTCAGACTGAGCTTCTTTGATTTCTCCTCAAACACACACACACATATATATAATCATCTTATTTTTGGTTGATTGTTAGGGAATTTCTGTAAACACATTTTCACCTCAAAAACAAATGTACCCTTTAACCAATGGAGCTCAAGCATCCAATCTCACTGGAAGCAGTCATGGAAATGCCAGGTATGACTCAATCATCAACACTATATCTTTACTATTTACCCGGAGAGAGGAAAGAAAAAAAAAAAAAAAAAAACACACACACACACACACACACACAATTCTTTAATAACTGCTTGATAATTTGCATAAAAGCTTAATTATCTCTTGAGGTCATTGCTAAAAAACAATTCAAACAAGAAGCTTAATATATCACATAAAACTCTAATTGCATTAAGCCCTAGCCATTCCCTTCATATAGAGAGAGATTGAACTCTGATACAAGTGATCTACAAATGCATTAGAAACTTTACTAATTTCAAATTTTCCTCATCATCAAGAGTTCTATTTATCTATATGTAAAATATTCATGACAGTGCTTGCGACTACGGAACTTTGAGCCAGAGCAAGGTGACAGGAAAGATAGTGTATTGCCTTGGAAAAAATGGTCAGGATTACACCATCAAAGGCTTAGGTGGGGCTGGAACGATCGTCTCCATTGATCCGGAAACAGACATTGCCTTCACCTTTCTTATACCAACAACTTACATCGCTGCTATGGATGGTAAAATGATCGATCAGTACATCAACTCAACTAAGTATGTTATCCTTCCATTTATCATCTTCTCGAACAACAAGAGAAGTAACATGATCTGAAAGTTACATGCCTGCATTTTATACACACACATAAGCAATGCATGTTAATTACATATGTTTGTATGTGTGTATTTATGTTGATCTGCTACTACATTTAACAGTATATACATGTAATCTACAGAGTGCTTGGTCATGGCACATTAGTATATATCTTGGAATTCATGAAGATGGATGTCTGTTAATCAAAAGAATGGACTAATTTAGTCCAGTAGTGTGAATTTTTAGTGCATTGACTACTGACATTTATAGTTGTAATTTACAGAACTGCCAAGGCTGTTATAGACAAGTCAAGAGCTGCTTACATGCCAGCCCCTTTCATTGCTTCCTTCTCATCAAGGGGACCCCAATTAGTGGCTCCCAACATCCTCAAGGTGAACCATCTCTCTCTCTCTCTCTCTCTCTCTCTCTCTCTCACACACACACACACACAAACTAACTAAGCTTTGTTGGACATGCAGCCTGACATTGCAGCACCAGGATTGAGCATACTTGCTGGATATTCACAATTGACATCTATAACTGGAGATCCAAACGACAAACGGTACTCGAAATATAACATACTATCAGGAACATCAATGGCTTGCCCACATGTTGCAGGTGCTGCAGCCTATGTCAAGAGCTTCCATCCCACCTGGTCCCCTGCTGCAATCAAGTCCGCTCTTATGACCACAGGTGAGACCCTTTAAACTCACATCTTATATTTCAACTTCTATAATAAACTCCGGTATAATTCTAAATCAATATTTCATCTTCTTGCTTCAGCAACCCCCATGAAGATCAAGCAGGCAGACGCTGAGTTGGGTTCTGGTTCAGGCCAAATAAACCCAGCAAAAGCACTGTACCCCGGCCTCATATATGACATTTCCATGAGCTTCTACATTCGTTTCCTCTGTAAGGAAGGTTACAACAGCACGACCATACGCTTACTCACCGGTGGCAAAAAGCTGTACAACTGCTCCAGTTTCCCACCAGCGCTAGGCACCGACGGCCTCAACTATCCCTCCATGCACATCCAGCTTAAAAAACGCAGTCCTACCATCTCTGCAGTATTTCATCGGATCGTGACAAATGTGGGGTCTGAGAAATCAGTGTACAAGGCACTTGTGAACTCGCCGAAGGGACTCTCTATCACAGTTATCCCAAATACCTTGTCATTCGACCGCATAGGCCAGAAGAGATCCTTTAGAGTGGTTGTGAATGGCAAGTTTATGGAAGCCAGATCTTGGATCCTATCAGCACTTCTAGTGTGGAGCGACTCGAAGCACACTGTCAACAGTCCAATAGTTGTCTATAGACCTTTGGTTTAGGATTATTTAGTTTTTTATTCTTCTTGTTTGCACATTGCATAAACATGTGCTCCAGTTGATCTACTAAATTTCATTCTTTTCTCTGAAAATATTTAGTCTCCTAGTCTTCCGTAGTCCAATTTTGGTGCAAGTAAAAGACACAATCTGCGTAAAAGAACTTTTATATATGCAGCTTTATCTGTTGCAAAATAATTGAATTATAATAATCCAATTTTCCCAACTCAAATTGCTTTTTAAATTAAATAAAGTATAACCTACAGCAGATAATATGGAATGATGTGAAGAAATCAGATGCAAATTAAGATAAGGCTTTATATAGTTCACAAGGACTGAATCAACATACAGAACATAAAAATTTACATTTCTTATAAGTATCAAGGTAGGAAGCTGAGAAATAGAAGGCAGTCTATGCAGAGTTAGACACCTGAAGTTGGATTACCGTGATGTAGATTGGATGCAGGATGGACTGTAGGTGATGCAGGTTGGACTGTAGTAGGCGATGCAGGTTGGACTGTAGTAGGCGATGCAGGTTGGACTGTAGTAGGCGATGCAAGACCAGCCATCCTCCTGTGTGGTGTTGGTGGAGATCTTGGGGAGAGGTTAACGAATTCCAGGGCCTGTACTCTCAGTTCTACAGGGTAGTCAGCAACACAACCAATCCTTGGGCCAGCACCTGTTGACCATTTTAGCGAAAGCTGGTTTCCTAACTGGTATGACCTAGTCTTTTTGGAATTGATTCTTTGCAATATTGCTTTCTTAGGCACCTCTGCTCTTGGGCTCTGAAGACCTCCAGATAGAGTCCTCTTGTAGTTGCTTTTTGTTTCGCTTTGGGTGACTTCAGTTGATTCTGAAGACAAGTCCTTTTTCACTTCCTCGAGAGTATCAGGTTGGAGAGATTCTGAATTTGTTGAAGGTTCAGGTATATATTTGGTCGACTTGCTCTCTTCATAGTTCTCATAATCCTCATTTGATTTGCGTATCTGCAACAAGAGTTGGATAATGTATCATCAAATAACAATGATAATATGGAAGTGACAAACCATCTTGCTTCACCATTTGGCTACAAACTTATTTTTGAGGATTAAGAATGAGTTTGTGTAGCAGTGGTTGGATTCTATGGTTTCTTTCCTGACATCCCCAAAGGCTTCTTGTAACCAAAGTTTCTTGGAAACAGTCCGACACCCACCCTAATCAAAAGATTTATAGAAGTAAAATAAGATAGAAAACAGAACAAATGATTGACATACCTCAATTTCGTCAAGATTGACTCCATTTTCCTTGAGAAATGATAAAAAGCTATCAAGGCTGTCATCGGTTGGTCGATAATGTCCACTGTAAGCAGAGATGGACTGGAAAAAATATATATAATAAGCAATTAAGGATCAAATGCTAAAGAAAAGAACATTTATCCCAACTTCAATCTAGATTACATTTGAATTATTGCATGTGTCCCTCTTCATTAAATTTGCAAGTGAATAAAAAGTAATAGCATATCTCCACCACTCGTGGGCCTTCAAATCTCAAGTGAAAGTTCAATCATCTCGATGTGTTCCCCATTGTTTTTCCTTTAAGCATATTTAAAATAAGAGCACTTAGGATACTATAAAGGAATTTAAAATTTCCATGACAATACAATCTCACAGTTTCTTAAGTTTCCATGGCAATACCATCCAACACAGATTGACTCCTGCTAAATGTTTAGTTCGGCAAGAAAGAACGAAGAGGTGTGGAGGGAAGATAGAAAGGAAGGAACAAACTTGGTTTGTTCGATAAGGAGGAGACAAGGAGAGAAAGGATAATAGGAGGGATGAATTACCCTTCCCCCTTTACAAATTTTCATCCCTCCAAATATGGGCGGAATAAAGGAAAGGCAAGTGGGATTATTGTATCACTTTTAAATTATAACTATCCTAAATTAGACAAGAAAACTAAATTACTACTATTCTAAATTAAAACTCTTCTCTTTCTTTCACTCATAACGAACTCAGTAAATTGTAAGCTTAGTCTCTTCTCTTCCATCCAACCAAACAAAAAGAGGGAAGGACGCAATCTCTTCTTTAGGGATGTCTCATCCATCCCTTCTTCTCTCCCTTCCATCCAAAATTTTTCCTTCCTACTGAACGAAGGATAAATATTTTATAAACATGTTACTTCTGCTTACATGGACATCAAACATTTCCCCATACAGCTAGCTTTCTTCTTCTGAGGGTTGTTCAATCTCAAACTTCTCTTGGTCATACTATGACCAACAAAAGCAATAAATCAGGAATTGAGGATGATGGAGGCAAGAATGAGGATATGAATATAGATGCATGTGTGATGTGCATGTCAATTTGATAGCCACGGTTAACCAATGTTTAAATGGAAAATCACTATGGACATGTAAGGTGTGTTAGTAATTCATTGACTATGGTAATTGACATAGTAACAATCAAGATCTGTTGTGCAGAAATAAAACATAAAATAAAAAGTTGAAAGTTGAGCAATGTGACATTATCTCTGATGTCAATTTGCCAACAGGCCTATGCCTGCATCCCGTAACTAGGAAGGATTGTCAATATATCTTGGTTTCATTTACTAGGAAAAAAAATTACAAACTATTTGCAATCAGTCAAAAGAACCAAGTCAATGCATGAAATGGATAGAAGTCGGTGTAGTTCTCAAAGGAAAAATGTAATTTAAACTAAATTTTCAGAAAGAGTGATGTGCCATTGGCAACATTGATGGCCTTTTGTTTTAAAGTATAAGACCCAAATATGCCGCCACCACTGTATGAAATTCTGGTTTTTGAAAAAAAAAAAAAAAAAACTGTAATAAGTTAAATAGCATGATTCACTTCAGAATTCCAAGGAGACACTTGAAAATCGTTTCAAACTTGTGCACAGCCGTGAAAGGATCAATTACATAGCTGGTGTGGACATGGTTGAGCTTAGATTCAAAATTAGAATTACATCAAGGAAAAGTTCAAGAACCTACAAACTTAGGAGAATTTTGCCAAGGTAAAAAAATAAGTAGGAGCATTTCATGAATTGTTTGAACAGCATCCAATAACTAAATTTCAGTAGGGAACCCAGTGAAAAGTAAAAGAACGTGTTTCATCATGTAATTATCCAGCAAAATTAGGAACACGGGAAAATAATTTCGCAATATTTATAAACACCAGTGATTCTGAATTTTAAACAAGAGAACAAGGGCACGCATAATTCACGAAAAAAAATTCTGTAATGAAGAACACAGTAAAATATTCAAAGGAATTTCAATGGTATTGAGCCACCTAGAAGTTTTAACTAGCCTCCAGCAGGTATCCCCAAAATGTTTTAACCTTGATACAGCAAATTTTTTTATCTCAATTAATAGTATATTAAACATAAAATATTAGATAATGAATGGTACCTTAAGTGTTCCATCCTCTGCCACAAGCCTTCCAGCAGCTAAAGTGGCCCCTCCCGCAAGGAAACTCGAATGGTGAAACATTCCTTTACTTTTCTGAAGGTAGTAAAAATGCATTAGTTTCTAAGCAACGATGGAAGCCTTCGAAGTAGAATAAAACTACCTAGTTCTGGTGTTTATTTTAAGTCTCACCTCACCGGCATAGAGTTTTTTTGAGGTGCTCATTACAAATATCCATTTTGTCCTTTGAAATCCCTTGTTCGTATCTAGAAACCCTTTTGATTGTTTGTGTATTATTTTCCCTTCAACAACAATATATTCGTAGTGATCTCTCTCTTGCTGTTTCAGTAAAAATTAACAATGCACTATGTTAGCATTGCATAAATACAATGTGAACATTTTAATCAAAAAATTATACAATGAAATCAGTTGTACAGCTTGAATTTCAAACTTCTGCATAAATGGTTCATAGAGCACGTACGGGTCCAAGGTATTTGATACATTGTTGGCGCAGCTTTGACCTCGGGCATTGTTTGAGTTCAACCTCTTTGCCATCTCCAATATCCAACCTGCAAGTTGAAATAACAAGGTTTACTACCATTCAACATTGACTAGGGTACGTGTATTGGGTGCAATTATGCATCTAAGTATTGGAACCACCAAGCCCCAAATCTTTGGATACAAGGACTTCATTCCAAATGTATCCAACTTTAACTAGCATCCATTTTCATTTGCATTGCTGCTGGCATGTGTCCAAATTTGTATTTACTTCTTATCAACCAATGCATGACCTACTTTGATATTATACTTCCCAGGTGTTACGAAATTGCAGCATATTTCCCATCTAATGACAAATCATAAATGGCATAGAGATGACATTCAAGTAAATTGTTCTGCATTTATATGCCAGTTTTACCATATTGCCAGCTGCCAATAAAAGGCATCAATAAAATGATTGATAAAATAATTGATTTTATGGATTCACCATTTCTTTTTGGTATGGCATACAAAATTAAATTAGTGCAAGGCTATCAAAAGAGCCCTCTCATGACAGGAGCCATGAGCTCTCTTTGTTGATTGTTAAATTAAGAGATTTCTTAAAAGACAGATCTCAGAAACTGAGCTCATGGTGTTGACATGAGAGGGTTCTTTTGATAGTCTTACTCATTAAATTATGCAAAAGAGAATTACAGAAGAAAACATGTAAAATATGTGGTTTTTAACACCCACTATTTCTTTATATAGCATAGAACCACTCTTGCAGCAGATTCAACATCATTGATAAACTATGGTGTCTTTATTACCATTGACCACACAAGTTATGCTACAAATTGAGCATTTAAACCTAGAAGGCTAGAAATTTGCAACTCTGCTGAAATATGAACATAGAATCATGACTGACCAGTAGAAGCAAACCTCTCTTACCAGTAAAAGAATGGCTGGCCAGCATCATCTTTACACCATTCCTCGTAATACAAATGCAAGCTATGGCCATAACGATGCCTTGGATCAATCTACAATTCACACAAAGTAAACCAAGAATTACCAGCTGATACATTTAAAGGGCATGGTGAGTATAACCCAAAAAAGGGGAATGTAAAAGGAAAGGAGGACACAAGGTCAAGGAGTAAGTAATTACAGCTTCAATCCAATGCTGAAAAGCCAATTTTTGTGCTTTGGCGTCTTTTGACAATCCCTTTCCCACCTGCCAAACAATCCAACATGACAACAAAACTTGCTCAAGAGTGACAAATATTTTTTTCTGAATACAAAAGGGGGAAAAATAGCTATAAAATCAACTGTATGTACTTAAATTTGTTGCAGTAATTTTGCTCTGGCTCAAATCAAAATCAAAATCAAATACAAAATTAAGAAGAACCACACCTTAGAAGCATTCAAGCTGATTCGATTCCACCGCGAAATAGCAGTCTCTGGTTTCAAGAAATTGAAGAAGGAGATTGTACTGTGATTCAACCGAGCATAGTCGATTGCTTGCCACCTTCAAAATCAACATCATTGCTATTTAGTTTTTTAAAGTTCTAAACATACTAAAAGAAAATATATATACTTATACACACAGAAAAGTACGAATATACCAGAGCTCCTCTGCTACTACAGCGGAGTCTGCTAACATGCGCCGGGTCCGGTAACTTCGGTAAACCTTCTGCACCTTCATCGCAGCGGTGGACTTCGAACTCGCCGGTTTACCGGTGGGACTCAGAGCAACGTCCGGCACAGAGCTCTCGCATTCCTGCTCTTCATCCGCCGACAATCCGGCGTTTATATCCGAAACCAGAGCAATTTTGGAGGTGTGGCGTCCCTGACCGCCGGTAGCCGGAGATTCCGAGAGGGAGTTCAACGCCACCAGAGATTCGAAGCCGTCACTAGTTAGTGCGTCAGATGCCAGCGATTCTTGCATTTCGGAGCTCCGGAAATCCAGAGAATGGAGCTCCGATGGGTCCGTAGCGTCGTTAACTGAGTAAGAAAACAGTGGTTTGGACTTGAGGTCGAAGTTCGAAAGTGTTTGGGTTTCGACCTCCATTGAATAAGGGTAGTCAACGAACCCTAGAAGTTACAAATGAACAAAAACAGAGACTTTTAGATAGAGAAATATCAGTCGTCGTGAGGGCTTTCGGAACTGCTGTATTGTGTGGTATATATAAATGTGTGTGTTTCCCGGTGAACCTAGCTGTCAATATATTTATGGATACTGAGGAAGCTGAAAGGAAGATGTACTCGCTCGAGTAAACACGACAAATATACTCGCTAGTGCGGAGAGAGTATTTAAGTGATCATCGAGATTCATGAGTATTATTAAGCACTAAAATCCTAGATAATAGAATAAATTGGCTCCCTAGTACTCGGCACCCACCAAACGAGCATGGTGTGACAAACGTGGCCCAAAACTAAAATGTGCCTGCAACATTTGGGGACTTGCTTCTTTAGAGTCACGCACGCTTGTTTCAATGTGGACTCTTAGAGCATCCGCAATAATAGAAAAGTGGCCAGTTTGGTACCCATTTGGCTACCCAAAGCCCTCCTCGTGCGGTTGCCACATGGCCGGTCTCATTGGCTGGCGAGCAAAACACATCACAGGCAGAAAATGAGTGTTTTAGAAGTAGATATTCAGTGTGTCAAAATAGTGTGGGCATAACACCCCTCGGTGTTGTATAACGTACTATTGTAGTTATAGTAAATATTTATTGGTGTTTTAACTTACCAATGTATTCCTTTCCCTCTCTACTCTTCCCCCTCTAAAGAAAAAATAAATTAGAAAGATAATTGTAAGTTGATTAGTTTAGTTTATTTATCAAAATAAATGGCTTAGAAGAAGAGAAAGAATCTAACCTAAGTTATCAATGGCCTTAATTAATTCAATTTGACAAGCAAGTTAAAGTAATCTGCACAAATATCATTAAAATATAATAGGCAAAAATGTAAAAAAACCCCTCTAAACTATTACGAATCCGCATTTTACTCCCTTGAACTACAAAAATGAACAAATCAGTACCACAACTATCACAAATCGTGCAAATTAACCCCTGAAACTCAATTCCGGCCCACAAGGTCAGCACGTGACTGTTTTTTTCTTTTAATTCCTAAATTACCCTAAAATACTAATGAATATTATTATTTATTTATTCATTTTGACTTTTTTGCCACGTAATGAGGTAAACCCGAGTTCTCCTTCCCGCTGGTGCCGCGAGCCTTCACAGCCCCGTTCTGTAACTTCCCTTCGTCCGTCCACGAGGCTTCTCTGATTAGTCAATTCCTCCTTCCTTTCCCCTCAATTTTGTGATCTATCAACAGAAAAAAGAAGAAGAAAGAGAGCACAAAAATACCAAACATACCAGCAAAATTCGATGACTCCGGAGCCGGTGGAGCATTTAGATCGATAGGTGGTTGACCACCAGTTTTGCAATCACACACGCATATATATATTTACATATATTTATATTGATGAAAAAAAGCAACAGTAACCACACACACTCACATATCAATATAAATATATATATATATATATATATATATATATATATATATATATTGATGAAAAAAACTACCGGTTTTGATCCAATCATATCAGAGGTGGCTGGTGCAGCGATGGTGATGGCAGCATAGGTGACGATGGGCTGTGGAGAGGACTGGTTCGGCCTGTTGGTGCAGCGATGGTGATGGCGGGCATGGGCTGGCGATGGGCTGTGGAGAGGTCGGAATATATGTCAATATATATATATGTGTGTGTGTGTGTGTGGCTACTGTTGCTGCTTAGGCAACCTCGCTGCTTTAGCGCCGCCATTAAAGCATAGATGGGGGTTCCACTGCGGAGGTGGTGGTTTAAGTAAAGAATTGGGATGGGATCGAATACAAGCTTGTCGGAGGATCACACATTCTATAAATAAATCAATGTTTTGTTCCATGGTGGAGGACTAACCGGGCAATCAGTGTTTTCTTCATCCCCACCCGCCTCCTTTCCGACTGCACCACCCGATCTTTTCCGGTGGCTTTCCAGTAACCGGCTTTGGTTGCCCGGTTAGTCCTCGACCCGTTTGGGTATTTCCTATCCGTTGGGCTGTAGAAGTACCATTCCATATCTTTGCCAGGTAAATATGACTTATCTATACATGTGCATCATCAAATCAAATATATATATCAGATTTTAACTCAATTTAATTTAGAGTCAATCAAATTAATGATATTTCTATATATATATATATATATATATATATATATATATATATATATATTCAAGTAAATTTGTAGGTACGTAGCTGGTAAATCCCAGGGCTCACATTTGTAGAGATCAACCTCTGGGATGATTTCAAGCTCGATCACACTGCCTGTTATTTCCCTATTTAGATAGTAATCAACAAGTTCCTCGTCAGTTGGGTGGAACCTGAATCCTTGGGGAAGACTCATTTGTGCCATTTATCTAGCACCGATGTATATGCAAGTGTGTGTGTGTGTGTGAGAGAGAGAGATTTGAATGAGAGAGAGAAGAACAGAAGATGATGGAGATGGACTTGAGAACAGAGGGGCGTTGAGGGTATTTTTTTTTATAATTACAATGGGTAATTTTGTAAATTTACAATGAAGTCGGCCGTAAAGTGGCCGGAATTGCGTTTCATGGGTTAATTTGCACGATTTTGATAGTTGTGGTACTGATTTGTTCGTTTTTGTAGTTTAGGGGGGTAAAATGCGAATTTATGATAGTTCAGGGGGGGTTTTTGCATTTTTACCAATATAATATAAATACTTAAGTTGGCCACTTTAGTTGCTCTCTATATATCTATAAAAGTGGTAAATCAAAATTATATGAGCAATGCTTAGGGGTGAAAATTGGTGTTCGTGGGTTATAATCGTGTCGTGTCGATATAAGAGTATTCTATTAAATAAATAAATTCTAACCCGGTCTATTTAATAATCGTGTCAAAAACTCTCAACACTAACTTGACCTGTTTATTAAACGGGTTAACGTATACCCGTTTAATAACTTGTTTATGAAAATAAGATGTTTAATAATCAATCAAATAATAAATATTATAAAAAATTTGTCACAATTAACCCAAATATTTAAAATAACGACTTAATTGTCCATAATAGTTGGATTTAAATAGGTAACATATTACATAAGTCATATTCATAATTATGACATGTCAAGTTAAACGGGTTACACATGTTGAACTCTCTCAACCCTAACCAGGTACGATTAAATAAACGGATTAATCGTGTCAATCCATTTATGATCTGAACCCATTTAAGGTAAATTCAAACTCACTTATCTCATGTCGTATTTGAATTGTGTTGACCAATCGTATTATAATTTGCCACCCCAAGCAATGTTACTTAAAGCCGAAAGAGTTAAACAAAATTCCTGGACTAACAGTATATATTAGTCAGGTACAATAAATATTAATCATATTTTGTATATATGATGCAGATTCCATCAAACTTAAAAAGACATTTTTCAAAATTATATTTAAACTATAAGAATTTATGTGAGATGAGTGGTATATCTTATCACATGATGTCATGATATATTGTATGATATGGTCCACCGATCAGCTCACATAAATTAAATTATAATTATCAAATTTATTCTTTAAATTATTATTCTTAACATTAAGAAACTGTCATTGCTCCGACAATTAACACTACTTTTCTATTTCATTTTCTTTCCTCTCCTCATCCTTTTTCAGTAATTTCTTTTATAATAATCCTCTCTCAGTTTTTTGTATTTGCATTATTAATCCTTTAATTTGTATTATATAGCATTACCCTCTGTCACCGACTATACATTTAAACTATGGTTTTTTCGATGATTAATTTTTTTTTTATAACTATCTGTTCAATCTTTAAACAAATGATTCTTGCAATCATTAATTTTTTGTTTTTTTCACTGCAATATTCATGAAATCACGTGATGTTGCTTTCACTCAGCGAAGAGTTGATACAGTTCTGAAAATTGTTAAAATAACACTTTTCAACTTATTGAGCATGAATTTATAACAGATTTAATCGTCAAAAATGAAAATTAAATTATTCAGAATTTTAGTATTTTTGTTCTCTAAAAGATTGTAGGGCTTAATTTTGGTAATATATATTTCATTAACATTTTATTTTGTTTTGTAAGTATCATATGTCATTATTATGTGACAAATTTTATTTTATTTTATTTTATTTGTTTAGCCAATATGTAAGCTGGTGTGTACCTCGTACGCTATGAAATACTTTGTGGGCTTATAGGTAATATAATATTGCATATTTTTTATGTTAAGAATATTTCTAAGACTTCTACCTAAAGAAAAGTATAAAACACATCAGGTTTCGCTTGTTTAGACGTAAAATATATTTATTGTATAATTTTTAGGTAAAATATATATATATTTTTTATCTTTTCGGTGTTTGACAAATGTTGGTTGAGGTTAGGTCTATCGGATTGGACATGTAAAATAACTTATCAAAAATTAATAGATAAATTATTTTTTTTAAATTTTAATATTTTTTTTCTTCGTAAATATTTTACGACAATCAAATATCATAAAATAAAAAATATATTTTTTGAAAAATATTTTACGACCAAGACAGACGGAGCCAAGTTTTTTTTTTTTTTAGTTCTATTTCCTTGTTTCTAGTTTGGTCCCCCAAAAAACAAAATTCATGGGGTCTGCCCTTACTCTTACTCTTCAATGCATTTAAAACAATGTTAATTTTTTAATGGCCTTTCTTTTATAGGTGCAATTTTTATTGAATGGTCAATACTAATAACATGATATGTCTAAATTTTGTCGGTCACTCTTCTGTCTCAAAATAAAGTCTTGTTACATCTCAAAAAGTAAATCAATATTCAAAGTAATATGTGGATATAGAAATAAGTTGTTAAATGTCCTACATCATCCTGTTTATGAATAGCAAAGATCCAAACACTGGAATGTGGTAGTGTACCAGTTGTACAGCTCTCTTAAATGAATTTTGAAAATTTTATTTAGTGAAATATATAAATATATATATATGATGAACACTAAATTATTTTGCAAAAAAGTGAGGAAATCAGTTTTAAAATGATTTAGTTTTTTAAAAATATTATATATTATGTTCTGATTGACTGAAATTATATAGCCCGAAATCATGTAAAACCTTTTTTAAAAAAATTTGATTTCCAGTTAAATACATTTGACCTTTAAAAACTTTTCAGTTTCACTATTTGTCAATAGTTTTTTATTTTAAGATTATCTTTTAATTTTAATTTTAATTTTAGTCTCAAAGCGAGTGAAG